CCACTCTGGCCTGGACTCACACTGACACTGCAATCACATACCTTTCTTTTTCGTGGAGCTGGTTCGTCCAACAGGAAAGGGTCAGGATCCGTCTCAAAGCCATGATCAGTTTGGGGAGAACCAAAGGCCTCCCCCAAATACTTGGGGCTGGCCTGGGGGTGGGGGGGTGAGGGGGTGGAGACGCCACTGCTCCCGCTCCAGTGACCGCTGGTGGTGCTGCTACCGCTGTCCGAGACATCACCGCTCTCCTTCCACGGGTCGCAGGCCGTGCGGGAAGCTGGCCAGACGAACAGAAGGTGAGAGGACGCTCACAGGCTTGTCCCTGGGCAAACTCTCCCTGTGAGCTTCAGTCCACATGGAGAGGGGTTCCTCACAGCAGCAATTTCTCCTGGTAGAACTGCTCTGCCCTTCAGACACTTCCTGCTACAGCCACCTGGTCATCACTGACCAGCAGACACACATGCGACTTCACTTTGTACAGGATTCATGCAAAGAGAACCTAATTAAAACGTATTTCTCTCTTTTTAAACAAATTTCTTTTTAGAGATGGGGGTCTTGCTCTGTTGCCCTGGCCGGTCTCAAATGCCTGTCTGCAAGTGATCCTCCTGCCTCAGCCTCCCGAAGTGCTGCCTGTTTCTCACTTGATACATTAACTAAAAGGGGGATGTGGGGAGGGGCAAAGCCTCTGCAGCCTCCAGGCCTGGTTGAGAACGGGCACACCCAGAGTGTTGGGTATTTTCCTATAGCTGGAGCATTTTCCTACAGCTGAAGCCAACTTAAAGGGCTTCTTGACCAGCTTTCCTGAAAAATGCTTTTCAATCATCTAAACCCAGGCCAGGCCATAAAAACCCGTGAGTGGAACAAACCACTCGGCCTTGGCAACCCTCCGGAGGGTGCAACGTTTCCCAGTCCTGGCTGCAGCCCAGGTGGAACCTGCTTTAATCAAGAGGTGACACGTTTGGAGGAGGAAAGACAGGCTCCACGGGGAATTTTGATCACCGCAAGGTGGCAGGGGGCTTTCGGGCCTGACATGGCCCTGAAACAGCTCCCGGGTGCCTGAATGCCTCTGAGCGAGAGGAAGGATATCAGCAGACATAGAGCATCTTCCGTTTTTAAATGGCACATCTGCAGGCTGTGCAGGCCCAACCCACACTCTCACTCCTAGGCCAAACATCAGGTAAATTTATAATAGAGGAGAATCTGAAATTATGATATGTGGAAATACCAAGAGAGGGGGAAAAAAACGACCTGTCCTCAAAAGCCCCAACTCCCAATAGGGGCGTTCCACAGAGCCTCCTAGCCCTGGATGCCAAGGTCTACCAGCACATCGTTTGTGGCAGGATAAGATCCTACTGCCCTTCTCTCCTCCCGCTCACAGTCCTGACTGCTTCAGTGCTAAACAGGGATCTGCCTGGCACAGGCTCCCGTCTGCCCACGTTTCCAGTCCTGGCTCTCCTTCCATCGCACATCCCAGAAGAAGCCCACCCAAAAAGAAGGAGATGGATGAAGAACTCTCCCCTCCCCACCCCACATACCGCTGTCTGTCTCACAGCCATCAATGTCCCTTCCTGGGAACCAAGAGGCTTCTACGTCTGCATGCGTGCTTAGAGAAGGGGACACATTCAGGGCAAAACACAAGAATCATCCAACAGGCCAACATGCGAAAGGCCCACGCACATCCACTGATAGGAAAACTATCAGCGAGAGAAAGGCAGAGAGCGGAATCCTCCATCGCTGCATGCAGGATGGTCAGGACTCTGGGGTCACGCAGTAGGCACCCCCTACAAATGCAGCAGCCCTTCCCTACAGGAACCACTCATAACGGCTCAAACGCATGAAATCTGCGTGGCAAAAGGAGGCAAAAGGTAACAAAGCCAAAAGTTATCTATATGGATAAGTTAATGAATAAGTTGTAAGGGACTCCATCTTTGATCACACGTTTTTCTAGGACACAGGCAATAAATACACATTCTATACCATGAAAACAAAGTACTCCTCTACAAATGCGCAGCAGAGTGCTTACAGGTGGACCTTTGAGAAGTATTTATAGCCCTCTGTTTTCTACACACAGACATGCACAGACACACGCCGCCCTGACCACACAGAAACCAACGGGAACAGGCAGCTTCTGTGCAAACTGTATCCACCACCCTCTTAGTTAAGGTTTTGGTGGCTGTACAGGCCATGCTTCACAGAACACTTCAAGATAATTAGGCCAAGGAAGCCTTATATTTCCACTGACTTCAGCTGTAAGATTGAAAATGCACTGTAATCAAAAAAAAATCTTTAATAGACAGTAATTTTTTTTTTTTTACGAAGGGACTTAAAATCAGGATGATGGCATACATTCAGTGAGATGCTTCCATGCTGACGTACACTTGCGTATGCATGTACTATACATACCCTCCTAATGGGAACTGGAGTCAACAATTTTCTTTTCTTTCCCTTTAGGACACTGTCCTGGATCTTTCCACCCAAACACCCACATCTCCTAAACTCTCCTGAGAACACATAAATTAACTCCTTTCCTCTTCCCTCTCTCACTCCTGCTAATACAGCACGCATGCAATACTACGCTTCACAGCTAGGTGTCCCCGTAGTACACTGACGTTCTGTAGCGGCCTCCTCCCTGAGGGTCAGCTTTGGGTCAAGAAAGCAACTATGCTTTCTCTCTCCTTTATGTTTAATTTCTATTTTGGAAGATTCCTTATAAGGGATACTTATGAAGGCCACTTTCCTCCTGCCATGTGCTCAGACTCCATATTTTCCTGTAAGCTTTTAAGCCGCTTGCAATTCAGTTAGGTGTCCACCAATGAAAAGTTCTTCCCTGGGAGTAAGGTAGGCCAGCCCTGCCATGAATTTCCCAAAAAACTTCAGGTTCACTAGCAGTCTTGCCAAACTAATGACAAATGCCCAGCAACCCTTCTTCCCCTCATATTACTGATAAAGTATTTTGGGGTTACAACTATAGAAATTTTGTTTTAATTAATAATTTGCCTTGAAGTCAAACCACTAGTTTTTATTAAGCAGTTAGACTTATATTAGACGTTAGCTCATTCATTTCAGGTCCCTGTCCCGTAGGCCCACACTAATTTGTGAGGCTGAACTAGGGACCTGGAATGAGGGCATGTATTTTTTGAGACCATTATGAGACCACTTAGCACATTTCTACTTTGTCAACTAAATATTCCTCTATTGGCCTCATTCAGGCCCCAATGAAGTGCTGGGCTCAGTCACTCCCATGAAGGAACTCACTCCACTGGCCACACTGCACCAGGACGCTCCTCCCCAGATGAGGAAACTGAGGAAAAAGAACAGAAGCGTCTAACTCCATGGCATGCAGCCAGTGGCAGGTGCCAGTGGGAGGAGTCCCTGGAAATCCTACTGCCAGGCCGGTGACGCAGGCACCTACTGCTGTACACAGAGGAGGTCTGCCGGGGCCTCTGCCATGTCTGGAACCCAGCCGCGCCCCACTTGCTCACCAGAGAAGTTGGCCTCAGCCCTGGGAGGACTCTGCACAACAGGGCTGCAGGACAGGGACGTCAGCACCATGGCCGCCATCATCTCATCCATTTCCACTGCGTCCGACTTCCTGGATTCACATGCAGGAGTGGGAAAGGTTACTTCCTGGAACAGCGGGCCCATGCTCCCCGCAAAACGAGACACCGCTTCTGGCCAGTTTCACATGATCATCTTACACTTCTGGACTATCCCCTCCAAGTCCCCCTGACTCCAGTCAAGCCAGTGGGTGCTCAGATCATATAAACTAAGTGAAACATGGAGGTCTCCCCTTCTTCCTGAGCAGTACCCATTCTGAGTGATGCTTATAACATTAGGCAGCCCCAGTATAAGCTGGTGGGTCCCATCCCACTGTGACACCCTGAGACAGCCCCATTCTCCCATGAGTTTGCTGCCTAACTCTGCAGCTTAAAAAGGAGAACTTCATTTAAGGGAAAGAGAATAGGCTCAAAACGAAATAAACACGGGGACAAAAGACGCCCACTGGAATTCAAAAGCACAACAATTACCTCCCTTCCTTGACCCACATTTAAATTTAAGAGGAAACAATTATACAACTAACCACCTTCTCCCACCCCACCAAGAAAAATGGTAAAGCATTCTGACAGCTTTTGAACATCAACAGAACCTACTACCCAAGCCAATGTGCAAATAAACCAGAAGCACTACAATCAATCTCCTGGCTGGGCACGGTAGCTCACGCCTGGAATCCCAGCACTTTGGGAGGCCGAGGCAGGTGGATCCCGAGGTCAGGAGATCAAGACCAGCCTGGCTAATACAGTGAAACCCTGTCTCTACTAAAAATACAAAAAATTAGCGGGGCATGGTGGTGCACACCTGTAGTCCCACCTACTAGGGAGGCTGACGCAGGAGAATCGCTTGAACCCAGGGGATGGAGGCTGCAGTGAGCCGAGATCACACCACTGCACTCCAGCCTGGGCAACAGAACAAGACTCCATCTCAAAAAATAAAATAAAGTAAAATAAATCTCCCAATGCAAATGTCCATACTTTATACAGCAGAGTTCTATAAAATGTTACATGTAATTTTAAAAAAATCTATATATCGGCCGGGCGCGGTGGCTCAAGCCTGTAATCCCAGCACTTTGGGAGGCCGAGGCGGGTGGATCACCAGGTCAAGAGATCGAGACCATCCTGGTCAACATGGTGAAACCCCTTCTCTACTAAAAATACAAAAAATTAGCTGGGCATGGTGGCACGTGCCTGTAATCCCAGCTGCTCAGGAGGCTGAGGCAAGAGAATTGCCTGAACCCAGGAGACGGAGGTTGCGGTGAGCCAAGATCATGCTACACTGCACTCTAGCCTGGGTGACAAAGCAAGACTCCCTCTCAAAAAAAAAATCTATATATCACTACATTTTTGGAAGCAAAATTAGAGCTGTCTAGAAGTTAATGCTAAAGTATTAGGAAAAGTTAGTCTGAAATAAACTTCTAAGTGGTCTGTTTCAAAGGGCTATCTTAATTTATTCCTTACAATTGAGGCCCACTAAAATATATGACTTGGTTGTGAGGCAACTAAACCAAGACTATTAATACATTAAACATTCAAGATTATTAATACATTAAACATATCAGCATCTCTATTTTTGCATGACCTTTCAATTTTCATTTCCACAGAACAGAAAAGCAAATTCTTTGCCTGTATTCCACTGCATATACAATTGCAAATATTGCTCCTCTGATCTGGCTTCAAAATACTGGGTCTGCTGTGTTTTGTAGCACTCACAGACAAACAGAGAAGGAGAGGCAGGATGGGGTGTGAATGCTTGTACATCTTGTATATAAGACAATTTCAGTTGGCAGATTTTCTTTTTAAATCTTAAAAGATCAATGTACATAGAGCATATAACATAGAAATTAGGATATATATTCTTAGAAAAAAGTCATAAAATTCTAAAGCAAAATACATTCCTCATTCAACACCAATGGTTTGGAATATCTAAGCTGGGGTAGGCACACTGCAGGCTGTGCAGTCTGCTGCTTGTTTCTGTACGGTTTCAAGCTAAGAATGGTTTTACACTTTGAAATGCTTTGGTTCTGTGTTTTGTTTGTTTTGATATGGAATCACACTCTGTTGCCCAGGTTGGTTTCAAGTGATTCTCGTACTTCAGCCTCCCAAGTAGCTGGGATAACAGGCGTGTGCCACCACGCCCAGCTAATTTTTGTATTTTTAGTACAGACAGTGTTTCATCATGTTGGCAGGCTGATCTCGAACTCCTGACCTCAAGTGATCTGCCCACCTCAGTCTCCCAAAAGGCTGGGATTACAGGTGTGAGCCACCACACTCAGCTTGTTTTGTTTTGTTTTTGTTTTTGTTTTTAGAGCAGAGTCTTGCTCTGTCTCCCAGGCTAGAGTATAGTGGCACCATCACTGCTCACTGCAGCCTCAACCACCTGAGCTCAAGGGATCCTCCTGCCTCAGTCTCCTAAGTAGCTGGGGCTACAGGCAAAAGCCACCACGCCTGCCTAATTTTTTATATTTTTTGTAGAGTCAAAGTCTTGCTATGTTGCCCAGACCGGTCTCAAACTCCTGGACTCAAGCAATCCTCCCAAAGTGGTGGAGTTACAGGTGGAGCCATTGCACTTGGCCTAAAGGGTTTTAAAAATCAAAAGAAGGAATACTATTTCTTGACATGTGACACATGAAAAGTACATAAAACTGAAATGTGAGGGACCACCAATGAGGTTTCATTGGAGGACAGCCACGACTATTTGTTTCTGCATCACCCTGGCTGTTTGGACATCACAGCAGAGCTGGGCAGCGGAGACAGAGACTGTTCAGTCCACGAAGCCTATCTGGCCCATTCAAAAAACGTTTGCTGATGCCTGATTTACGCCATTTTTTCCCTGTCTCTTATCATAAACTATGAACTAATTTAGTTTAAGCATGGAAGGAGAAAAAATAGCCTTTTGCCCAACAAAAGATACATCGCCCATAAGAGGGTTATTGGAAAGATGACACTCTGGGTCAGGCACAGTGACTCTCACCTGTAATCCCAACAGTCTGGGAGGCCAAGATGGGTGGATCACCAGAGGTCGGGAGTTCGAGACCAGCCTGGCCAACATGGTGAAACCCCATCTCTACCAAAAAATACAAAAATTAACCAGGCGTGGTGGTGGACGCCTGTAATCCCAGTTACTTGGGAGGCTAAGGTGGGAGAATCACTTGAACCCAGGAGGTGGAGGTTACAGTGAGCCCACGTTGTGCCACTGCACTCCAGCCTGGGCGACAGTGAGACTGTCTTGGAAAAAAAAAAAAAAGAAGAAGAAAAGATGCCACTCTGGCTTTCTTAAAAAGATGCCCCTTTTCTGTGTCCCATTTGACCCAGTATCTTGGCACCCAGACACCAGTGACATCACATTTCTTCCCCACCACAAGGCACCCACACCCTCATACCTCACCACCCACGCAACTTTTGAAACCCAGTTTCTTCTCCCACACAAACCTCTTAGGGACATCGATGTTCCTGGAGACGGGCCTGTATGCCAGTGCCTGGAGTCCGGGCTCCAGGGGTGGTGCCTGGGGACAAGGGCACGGCAGCTCTGCAAGCCAAACCTCCTCCGCCCTGCAGCAGACCTGCAGCTTCTGCTCCAGCAGCCAGACGGTCACCTGCCCCTCTGTCCAGCTGTGCTGCTCCACCAGTCCCAGGCACTCTTGACCCCCGTAGCACACATAAACCTGCAGGAAGAGGAACAGCAGTGGCGGTCAGCCCTGGATGTGTCTCACTGTGAAGTTCTCATGCACCCTAAGTCCCAGGAGCCAGGGTCTACCTGCCGCGAACTGTCTTCTCTGCCTCACTCGTCTTTTATTCCAGCATATGCTCCCAGGTACCTGCTTCCCACCTGAGCACCACACTGGCCCAATTCCTCCCAAGACAGGTCCGTAGCACTTCTCTAGGCTGGCAGACGGCAAATATGTCAGTTTCCGGGACTTCCTCTGAATCTGGAATCTGTGCTCATCCTCCTGCCTTCCTTCCCTCAGATGCACTGCCTGTCTGCTGGTGCCCAGCTGCCACGCTGAATTGCTCATTATCCTGCACTCAGAGAGTGCAGAGTCCACCTGGGGACAAGGTGGCAGGGTGCAGAAGCAGGCCAACCTCTCGCCAGGGGGACCTGGAAGTTGGCAGGCTACTTTCCCTCACAGACAGAGAGGCCTGGCAGGCACAGGGCTGGCAGGGAGACAGAGGTACAGTATTTAGGAAGCCTTCAGAGGGCAACAGAAGGGAACCCCAGGCACCTGGACCTCGTGGTAACACCAGACCCAGGACCCTGGCACGGGGCGGGGATACTGGACAAGGAAATCACCACCGAATCCAACTACGCAAACATCTCTGACTCTTCAAAGTGTCTAAAGGGAATTCAAAGATGCAACGTTCTCCGACTCCCATAAGCCTGAGATGCTTTCGTTTGTTTGGTCAAGTTGCAAATTGAGGCAGATGAAGAGAAACAGAGCTATGACCAGCCTTCAAACTGAGGTTCTGCGAAGGACAAAGCCCAAGGCGTCAGATGCCAGCTCTCGCCACCTTCTACAGACAACACGGTGGCAGAGAAGCTCTAGGTCTGCTAACAGTGCCACATTCTCTGGGGCGGTCTGCTGCCTAGGCACCCTGTGGCTAGAGGGAAAAGGTCTGCACTCAAAACGGTGCCCAAAGTTTCCGGCCTGTTACTAGGGTACCCCAGCCGCCACCGCAAGACTCGCGAGATGGGACAGCCGTCCACACTGGGATCAACCTACCTTCTGCCCAGGCTGAAAGGCCACCTGCTGAAGGCCTGAGGTGCTGGGAGCCTTGAGGACTTCCTTGGGCTGCTCCTGGCAGGGGGTGTCATCGGACCCGATGAAAGGCTGGGGAGCGGCCCCCTCTAGCAGCGGTTCCAAGGGTGGGGCAGCCGAGGGCCCCTCCGAGGCACTGGGTCCCAATACCCGGGCTCCCAGGAGGGATCGCTTTCCAAGGCGCCGGGACAAGACGCTCGCCATGCTGCTGCCTCTCCTGCGGAGGCGAAGGGGACACTGAGGCCTCTGCCCATCACCTGGGGGAATCAGGAAGCTTTCAGGAGGAAGTCCCACACAGCAGGAGCCAGGGAGGGTGAGCAAAAATGAGCAAACCCTTTAAAGTCAACTTCTACCATCCTTCCTTTTTACAAAGGTGATACCGTTCCTGGTAGGACAATCGGAAAATACTGATGTGCACACAGAAAAACCACTCAGGAACTGCCCCCTAGGAGGTGCACTCTTCCCAGACGGCAGGCCAGGCTTCCTTCTGTGCGTGTATTTACACTTTTATTTCTGTAAAAATGGGACTGTTGTTTGGTAAAATGTATTTTTACTTAACTGTGTGAGTTTTACTGTATCATTATTATTTTATTAAAATACATTTAGAAGCCACATGGCATTTCCCTAGGTGGGGCATCATTCCTATTCCAATGTCTTATTATTTATTGTACCCAAATGCTGTACGCCAATGCTCCACTGTCTAAACTTCTCTGCCTGCAGTGAGCATCGTGAGCTAAACGTCAGCACACACACATCAACCATGGCTTCCGTAGGGCAACTTCTGGGAAACGATACTGCCGGGTCAAAGCTTGAGGACGTCTGTCCAATACACATGGATTCTCAAGCTCAGCTGGCTCAAAGCTGCAAAGAGCCACAGAACCTTACCAAGCTTGGCCAAGTGTGGTGGCCCACACCTGTAATCCCACCACTCTGGGAGGCTGAGGTAGGTGGATCACTTGAGGTCAGGAGTTCAAGACCAGCTTGGCCAATATGGTAAAACCCTGTCCCTACTAAAAATACAAAATTAGCCACGTATGCTGGCGTAGTCCCAGCTACTCAGGATGCTGAGGCAGGAGAATCATTTAAACCCAGGAGGCAGAGGCTGCAGTGAGCCGAGATTATACCACTGCACTCCAGCCTAGGCACAGAACAAGACTCTGACTCAAAAAAAAAAAAAAAAAAAAAAAAAAAAAAAAAAAAAAAAAAAAAGAAAGAAACCAAGCTCCCCTCGTCTTACACTTGAAGAAACTAATGTGGAACGTGATTTGTTCAGGTGGCAAAGCCAGTTGGTGCAAGAATCTGAGCAGGCCCGAAGTGGGTTCCTAGCAAGGGACCAGCTGGCCTGCAGTGCTCCCAGGCCTGACACTGCTGGCAGAAGGGGATGAGGGAGATCCTGCGCTTTGCAAACGCAGGTTGCCCTCCTCCTGCAGAACACGTGCAGCTTCTCAGTTCCTATCTGTGCTGTTCTGGTCCTCTGCTCCCTTCCATTCGCTTTTTCAGTTAGGATTCAGCTGAGGAGTGGATATGTGCAAAGTGCATACCAGGTGCTGTGGGGTCACGGCAGGCACGGAACACCAGGGTTTCCAGAGACCTCAGCATCCATGCTGACTGCCCTGCCCCCAGCGCTTAGAGGGCTAGTTCCACTCTGTGTGTCCCTCCCACCCCGCACCCCACTCCCTTGGCCAGACTCACATCAAGAGGACATCTGTGGGCACAGCCCTTAGCTCAAGCTAGCTTTGAACAGGTCCACAAGCCTCTCCTTCTCTTCCTTTTCCAGAAGCCCCCCAGTCTCTTTCTGTGGGTACCATCTCCACACCTCCCAAAACCTGGCCTCTTTCCAAACCATTCCAGCAAGGTATGTTTGCAAACATCTCCACAATAACAAAACAGAAATGGCAAAAGAGCTGTAAAGGATAATGATATACATGCAAATAAAGGGCAAATGTGAGTAAAGGGCAAATGCTGGTTTTCATGAGCATTTTACTCAGAACCTCAAGAGCTAGAATCTACTGGTATAGTATCTCCACTGTGAATTTCCCAGAAAGCAAAGAAAATATTCATATAAGGAAAAGGTTGGAGTCACTGCACACAGAAAGAAATTGCTAGTTAGGTGTCTGGTAACTACATCCAATAACACTCTCGGCTGGGTGTGGTGGCTCATGCCTGTAATCCCAGCACTTTGGGAGGCCGAGACGGGCAGATGACAAGGTCAAGAGACTGAGACTATCCTGGCCAACATGGTGAAACCCTGTCTCTACTAAAAATAAAAAATTACCTGGGCATGGTGGCACATGCCTATAGTCCCAGCTACTCAGGAGGCCGAGGCAGGAGAATCGCTTGAACCCGGCAGGCAGAGGTTGCAGTGAGCCAAGAGGGCGCCACTGCACTCCAGCCTGGTGACAGAGTGAGACTCTCTCACAAAAAAAAATTAATTAAAAATAACACTCTGTCTCTGAAAGCTTCAACATAAAAAGGGAGAAAAAAACATAAAGAGTAGTTTCTTTACCACTATAAAGAAAAAAAGTGTATGCCTAAGCTAAATTTTTGTTTCGTTTTGTTTTGTTTTGGGGGTTTCTGTGAGATGGCATCTCACTCTGTTGCCCAGGCTGGAGTGCACTGGTGTGATCTAGCCTAGCTGAAGCCTCTGCAACCTCAAGCAATTCTCCTGCCTCAGCCTCCCAAGTAGCTGGGACTACAGGCATGCATCACCACATCTGGCTAATTTTTTGTACTTTAGTAGAGAACGGAGTTTCATCATGTTGCCCAGGGTGGTCTCGAACTCCTGAGCTCAGGACATCCACCTGCCTTGGCCTCCCAAAGTGCTGGGATTATAGGCATGAGCCACCGTGCCGGGCCTAAATTGGCTTTATTTTTTGTGACAGAGTTTTGCTTGTTGCCCAGGCTGGAGTGCAATAGTGCGATCTCGGCTCACTGCAACCTCTGCCTCCCAGGTTCAAGCAATTCTCCCGCCTCAGCCGCCCGAGTAGCTGGGATTACAGGTGCCCGCCACCACTCCCGGCTAATTTTTTGTATTTTTAGTACAGACAGGGTTTCTCCATGTTGGTCAGGCTGGTCCTAGATTGGTTTTTAAAACACTGTCACTACATACCTTCGTCTTTGAAATCTCAGGTTAAAATGGAGCACCTCTAACTCTCGGTTCAATTTCACCGGGCTGAGAGACCCCAGAGGTGAAGTCGCAACGCCACGTAGAGACGTGAGATGGCAGCACCAACCCAGGGAAAGAAACTACACTTTCCTTGGCCAAAAATTTTTAAAAAATGAAAAACCCTAATGGCCTCCCACTTTTCAGAGCAGGAAGTTTGGGGTTTCTACCACTGAAAATGAAGAAAGGGTAGTATTTCCCAAATTCCTGGGCTCCCAAGTCTTCAGACGGCGCCTGAAATGTTTGGCCAACAAACTCCGCCAATGTTTTTTGTAAGCTTTTTTCTTTTTTGAATTTAGAGGTTTTCCACTGCCCGTTTTGTTTGTGCCTGCAACCTTCCAAGCCTGCCGGAGCCACACGGAGTTGGTGAACCTGCCACTTCTGACTAGATCCCCCCTGTTCCTCTGCTCCTTTAACCGGCCAGAATTCCACACCAAAATACATTGTCTCACTGGCTTTATTTATAGTACCCCCAAATCTTAACTTTCAAAAGCAGAAGAGGAAGAAGGAAGGGAAACTGCTTTTATTAAGTGCCTAAGAGGTGCTAGCTTTCATAAATTATATCTAATTTAATCCTCAAAAGGATCCGAGATCAGCCAATGGTTTTTATTTCCGATGAGGTGACAGCCTCAGAGAGGTCAGGGTGCCAAAGCCACACAGCTAGGAACTGTAGGGTTGGGTAGGAAGTCCCAATCCATCTGGTGTCAGAGGTCATGACTCTGCCATTATTCCAGTAGGTACGGGATCTCTCAAACTAAAACACTCAATTAAGCTGCTTTTCATTAACAGGATGATTTTCCCCCTATGTTAGTGAACATTGATTTAAAAAAAATAGCTCCTGACCAGGTGTGGTGGCTCACGCCTGTAATCTCAAGCACTTTGGGAGGCTGAGGCAGGTGAATCACCTGAGATCAGGAGTTCAAAGCCTGGCCAACATGGTGAAGCCCCATCTCTACTAAAAATACAAAAAATTACCCGGGCGTCGTGGCGTGCACTTGTAATCCCAGCTACTTGGGAGCCTGAAGCACAAGAATCGCTTGAACCTGAGAGGTAGAGGCTGCAGGGAGCCAAGATCATACCACTGCACTCCAGCCTGGGCCACAGAGTGAGACTCCGTCAAAAAAAAAAAAAAAAAAAAAAAAAAAAAATCACTTGAACTCAGGAGGCAGAGGTTGCAGTGAGCTGAGATTATACCACTGTACTCCAGCCTGGGAAACAGAGCAAGACTCCATGTCAAAACAAGAAAAAGAAAAAGCAGCTCCCGATCTAAAAGTCTACATGTTCCTTTTCTCACGTACTTTCATTCCTTGGAAAAAAAATCTCTTCTCCACTTGCATCTTGGCCTCTTACCTACAGACTAAAGGTCAGTGCTCTCGTCTGACCCTGCTAAGCAGCCCAAGCCACTGTTAATCATTTAGCAGCTCAGGCTTCAGAAGACCTTTATACACACACTGCCCTCTGGCAGGGCGCAAAGGGATAATGGGATCAACCAAAAAAGTCGGGGAAAACTTCAGCCAAGTTTACACCGTGGATTAGTAGCATGGAAGTGGGAAATACAAATCTAGACTAATGCAGGCTGGGCATCACCAGGTGTCACTCCATGCCTCTCCTGCGTTCATGAGCCCACTCGTGACATTTACAGACGCGGCTCGAGACAGCACAAATAACCAAGAGTCTTCGGGGACTCGGAGTGCATGAGAGCATCGGCAAAGATCTGCCAACAGGTGGTCAAGAAGCAAGGTTAATCCGGGGCCGCGGTGACTTTTCAGGACCCCCTGCTATCTCACAATCCCTCTGGGGGTCCAGCCCTCCGGGTGCGCTCCTATCATTCCAGCAGTGGCCTCCTTCCACCCCCTCTCCTCCAGGATGTCCACTTCATTCACTCCTGTGGTGAGTTCTTTCTTGGGAGCTAGCAATGGTCCCTATAAGCCAGCCATCCGCTAGTGCACCATAAGGTTCTGGAGCAGCCAAGAGAAATCAAGAAACACCTATTTTAGGGTCACAATAACAGTAGTTCAACACATAGTCCAATCCCACTTTATGATTTCACATTC